CTTTCCCTTCAGGAAGGTATGATTTTAAACTTGAACCAAAGCAGTTTAATAGTTTTATGACTAATTATGTTGTTTTTGTTAACCAAAGAACAAAAATAAAGAGAACATATTGTTGTAGAATAATATGCTCCTTTCCACTAGATGGGGCATGAGATAACCAGATGTAAGAGTCTTTTATTGCTAAACCAGAATATGCACTATTCAACAAATTCTTACCAAATAAAGATTTCTGACCAGTTTATGTACAAGTAGTTTACCTTCCCCACCCCTCATATCTCTGCATATCTGACTCTCTGTCTATCTGTCTCTTTGTGAAATTCTACACATCAGATCTAATATTTTCAAAACTCACCTTAAGAAAACTCAGAACATAAAAATCTATAATTATTTAATAATTGGTTATTTGACAAAGAGATTCATTTAAGAATTTTTAGTTTGTTTCTTTTAATTTTCCAATGTAGAGAAATCCAATTATATTAATTTCAAATTCAGAAAACTTATTGAATGCCTACTGATGGTAATACATTGCATTTTTATGTGATTAGTCATAGCACCTGTGAATAACAACAGGTTAGTTTCTTTCTTTCTGATGACTCCTTGATTTTTCTTTACTGCTCTGATTAGTACCCACAGGACAGCATGAGTGAAGTGATGATAGGAAGGTCGCTTTCTTGCTTCAGATCCTAAAATGAATGCACAGAGTATGATATATGCTGAGTATTTGTGGGTTTTTTTTCCCCAGAAAACATATCTAAAACTTTGTAGTTCCCTTCTGTGGCTAAAATAAATTAACAAAACATAATCAGAAGATATTTTGAAATATATTGAATACTCTTTCTGCATCTAATGAAAAACAAAAAATTTATCAGTTTCTGCTATTTTTGTTTTCCTTGCTTATAATTTAGGTTTATTCTGTATTTTTCCTAACTTCTGAAATTGAACACGTAGCTTATTAATCCTCTCTACTCTCTCTAATTTGAACATTTAAGCTATAAATTTACTCCTAAGCATCCCATTAGTTATGTTCTACAGGTTTCAAGAAGTTTTGTTTTCAGTTTTTTCCTAAAATATTTTTTGCATCTATTTTGATTGTTTCTTTCAACATTAAATTTTTTAGCTTTTTTTAAAAGAAGTATTTTCTAATTGCTTTTTTGTTGTTGATTTTTAACGTAATTGCATTCTGTTCAGATACTGTGATTGATGATCAGTACTTGGGCATTCCTTGAGAATTGTTCTATAGCATAGTATGTGTTCAATTTTTCCAAATGTTTCAAAGAATCATAAAAAGAATGTGTGTTTTCTCATCACCGGATGTGGTATTTCTATGTCTGTTAGATAAAGCTAATTAATTGTGTTATTCAAATCTGTTTTTCTGATCTTTTTAGCCTCATCATAATGATGGGTTTTTCCATTTATTTTTTATAGTTCTAATATTTTTGTTTATATGTTTTGAATTTAGTTATTAGGCTGTATTAAGTTTAGAATGGTTATGTCATAGAGGTGTTTTTAAACTTTTATCACTATGTAGTGACTTTATATAACACTTACTAAAAGAAAAAGTATTAAAGTCCAAGTTATATGATATTAACATAGGTATCTAACTTATTTTTTGCTGGTATTTGCTTGTGTTATCTTCTTGCATCCTTATACTTCATCTTTTCTGTTTCCTTAAATTGTAAGTATATGCTCTTTTACAAATAGCATATAGTTGTATTATCCAGTGAAAGACTTTGGCTTTTAACTGGAGAATTGAGTCCATTTATTGTGACTGTTGATATATTTGGATTATATCAGCATCATAATTAGTGCTTTCTACACGTTCTAATTTCCTGTTTTTTTCTCCTTATTTCCTTCTGTTCGACTACTTGCATCTCGTATATTCATTTCATTTTCTCTCTATTCATTTAGAAATTATATATAATATTTGTCTCTTTAGTTATCTAGATATTTTTAACATGTGTAATTAACATCTAATTTTAATCTATGTCTTTAATATCTTTCTGACAATGTAAGGATATTAGAATGTTTTTTTAAAACTCTCAGATTCTCCCTTCTGAATTATATGCTGTTGTTGCCTTGGATTTTGTTTTTTTTTTAACACCACAGTCTCTTTACTTTCAGTTTCCCCTTATCTTTTCCAGCTTCTGCTCCTCTGCCAGACTCCTTCCTCAGTCCTCGCCTTTCCCTCTGTTCTTCCCCCAGAAAGTGAAGGTGATCTGTTCAACTTGTATGTATATTTAAAGTATTTTAAAATATTTAAAAATATTTTCTAGTTTTTAACACTAGCTCTATATATCTTACAGTCTACTTGAGTTCTTTACCCTGTCTCATAGACATTTCAAACTTATCAATAGTTAGGTTTTGGAGAACTTTAATCAGCCTTTTCCCTGCATACCTCAGACCTGTTCTTCTTTTGCATTTACTATCTTAATAAATTATATTCCTTCTACCAACTTACTCATCCCAGAAACCGGAATTTGTTTTGTGACATTAGTTTTTGACAAACTGGACTTTCTCTTCACCATCACTACATTCAAATCAGCCACAAAGTTTAGTCAGTTTTACATTCAAAGAGATCTTAAATCTGTTTCATTCTTTTCATCTCCATGGTCAAATGCTCTAGTTCAAGCTATAATGCATCTTACCTGGACGACAGCAATAACCATTCAAGATGTAAAATCATTTCACTTTGAAGTAGAAATAGAATCTCTGTTACTTAGAATCATGCCATTGCAAACTGGATGTACCATTGACATGTTAATTGGTCTCCCTACTTGTAGTTATGTCTCTCTCGTCTTCTTTCCACATGGCAGGTATTACAGTTTTTGAAAATGATGGATCTAATTATGTAATTCCATTACCTAAAAGCCTCTAGTACCTCCTCATTGCTCTTATAATGAAGGCCAGATTTCTTAATATATCCTACAAGTCCCTGCATAAATCTCATGGCTGCCTCCCCCATTCTTGTCACTGCCCCATTTCTTACTTCAGTGCAGCCATCCCAGCCTTCTCCGATCATGGAACCTAAAGGAACAATCTCTTTACTCTTTCTACCAAGAATGTTTGGAGGCTTTTTTTCTCCTTCTTTCCCCCTTCCTAAGTATACACATGTACCCTGTTCACACCTATATTTTCCACATTCTTCAGCTCTCAACCTAAATGTCGCTTTCCTATTGAGTAATGTTCTTAAGGAATCCTTTACTCATCAGTTCCAAGTCAAATTTATACCCTTTCAAGGTATCCTGTACTTTTTTTTCTTATCATAAATACAGTTATAGGGACATGTGTGTATTTAATGTCTGTCTCTCCGTCAGGTGGTAAGTTCTAGAAGGTCAGAAACTGGGCCTATTTTTTTTCACCAGTATGTCCTAGTATTAAGTACATTGCTTGTCACCTGGACACATATATGTTGCATAAATGAATGAGTGATTATATGCTAGACCAGATCGGGGGAGAGGGCAGTGTTCTTTAAGTATAAGAAGAGCAGAGACTTTCATTTATCTGTTTTTGTATACATAGTGGAGCACATGATAGGTGATCACTAAGTTCGAAGAAATAAGGGAAGGGGAAGAGAAAGGAGAAAGGAAATGGGAAATGAGAAAGGAGAGGAAAGGAAATTAGAAAGGGGACAGAGAAGGTTAACCTAAATCTAGAATTATAGTCATTGATGAGAAAAGTTATATCAATTTCCCTATATCTCACTAAAAAAAAACAACAAAAAACTTGAATAATGGCTATGAAATGTGATTATGCAATAAAATAAGAATCTCCTGCTGTATTAGTTGTTTGCTGGTTTTGTTTGTTTGTTTGTTTGTTTAATTTATTTAAAAGAATGAGGAATGCCAGATGGAGTTACTCTCAGAATGCCTCCTTGAACATGTATTTTTAAATTAAAACCTAACTTTTTCAAAGTCTTATAAAGTGAAGGTATATTTTCACACACCTTTGCTTAAATTTATAGATAGCTACTTAGTACTCCCCCCCAAAAGATTTGTCTTTGCATACCATTAAGTGGAATATGTATAGAAGTATTTTATGAATTCTAAATGTATGTACATACTTTATTATTGATTACATTATAATTAATCATTGCTTACTTTTCTCCAAAATTATAGAAAAATATGTCGTAACTGCAAGTGTGGCCAAGAAGAACATGATGTCCTATTAAGCAATGAAGAGGATCGAAAAGTGGGGAAACTTTTTGAAGACACCAAGTATACCACCCTGATTGCAAAGCTAAAATCGGATGGAATTCCCATGTATAAACGCAATGTTATGATATTGACCAATCCAGTTGCTGCCAAGAAGAATGTCTCTATCAATACAGTTACCTATGAATGGGCTCCTCCTGTCCAGAATCAGGCATTGGTAAATAAGAGGGTGTGTGGGGGGGGTCCCTTTATAAAAGTTCCTGGACTACTTATTTAGGGCAGTTCCTTTAATGACCTATTCAACCTAGGTTTATTGTTTTTCTGGGGTTCCCATTACTTCTGATTTTCAACTCCTATTACAGACTTTTGAAAGTAAGATTAGATTCCTCATATAATTTTTCTGACTACCAAATTTATTAACCTTTTTGAAAGAATGGTCTAAAATTTTTATCATTTAGATGAAAAAACAGATGTTTTATACAAATCTAGTGACTCTTCCAGCTTACTCTTGAGAATATTTCTCTTAAGACAGTAAACAGTATCTAAAGAATAAAATTTTTATCATTGCTTAAACTCAAAAAATGTTCAGCACTGTATTTCTTTTACGGTATAAGGCAAAAGCATTTTTGTATCAAGCTTCTCATAACAACTAGATGAGACATCTGAAAGTTTTTAAAGAAGATTAAATCATTAAAACGAATCTTGTGATATTATTTATAATGAAAATGCTGCTGACCCATAGGCCATTCTAAACATACTGCCTAAAAATTTGTGTTCTTTTGCAATTGTATATTTAGCACAAGCAAACATTAAAAACACAACTCTTTTTTTACAAATTGAAAAAAAACGATTTAGTTTCATGAAGAAAAATGTGTTCATTTTTACTGAACTTAATCTATATAGTGTACCATTTCTTAATGTGTTAACATCTCAAGATACATGTTGATCATTTGTTAGTAATAGATAAAACCAACTTCTTTGTTAAGTAACTTGTTTCTGATGCGTGTTATTAAATACTATTGCCTGCCTGGATGGCCAAGGCATCTCCCAGTTAACACTGGTCTTCTGTGGTTTAGGCTAGGCAATACATGCAGATGCTACCCAAAGAGAAGCAGCCAGTGGCAGGCTCAGAAGGGGCGCAGTACCGGAAGAAGCAGTTGGCAAAGCAGCTCCCTGCACATGACCAGGACCCTTCAAAGTGCCACGAGTTGTCTCCCAAAGAGGTGAAGGAGATGGAGCAGTTTGTGAAGAAGTACAAGAGTGAGGCTCTGGGAGTAGGAGATGTCAAACTTCCCCGTGAGATGGACCCTCAAGGCCCCAACAGAATGTATGTCCCTGGCGGGGACAGAAGCACCCCGGCAGCAGTGGGAGCCATGGAGGACAAATCGGCCGAACACAAGAGAACTCAGTATGTGAGTAAAGTGGTCACACTGTTGGCCCAAATGGTGTATTTTATAAGTTCTGTTCTTTTCTTCCAACCTTTTTGGGGGCCATTCCTCTGTTTCCAAAAGGGAGTAGGCGAGGAAAGTAAATTGAATTAAAATTCACTTTAAGCTGATTTTAGAGAATCACCATGTTTGAAACCTCTACCTAAAGCCAAGTTTTCTGATTACTTGTTGCCATGGATAACTTTGAGTTTCATGTATACATAACGGCTAGCATTGGTTCATGCTGGAATATAGTATATTACTAATCTAGAATCTGTTTATTTTTGGTATTAATTGTTTATTTCCTCCCATAAATAATATATAGTTAGGTTAATTCAGTTTTGCTTATGAGACCATGTCTGAAATTTAAACTTAAATTTATGTGGATATATGTTCAATCATAGTTTTTAAATCTCTCCTAGAGAGGGAAATTAAAGTCTTTTTTAATGCCTTGAAGAAAATTGTGACACTCATGAACAAAAAATAACTCAACTTACTGTAATATATTTCTTATAGATCCATTTAGCACATCAACCAATAAGGCTTAGTCTTGTAAAAAAAAAAAAATTTTAAGTACTAATAAGCTCTAAAGTAATCATTTTTAAGAGACCCACTTACATAAAGTTTAGGTGAAAATTAATATTAGTCTTTTTCCATAAGTGGCTTTAATTCAGGAAACAATACTCTGTTACAGATAAGGTGCAAGAATTATGTTCGAACCACCTGGAAGATTCTGTTTCACAGAAGTACTAAAACCTTAATTGTCTACATGGACAACCTACTAATTTCAGAAGAAGTTATTTCTGTTGACATTTGCTTCTCTGAATTTCTGTTAAAGTTGATGATGAGAAATGTCCATCTTATGGTGACTAGATTGTTTTGGGTGGTTTCTCTTTCAGTCTTGTTACTGCTGCCAACTGATTATGAAGGAAGGTGACCCGGCCATCTATGCTGAAAGGGCTGGCTACGATAAACTGTGGCACCCAGCTTGTTTCGTCTGCAGTAGCTGCCATGAACTCCTGGTTGACATGATTTATTTCTGGAAGAATGGGAAGCTGTACTGTGGCAGACATTACTGTGACAGTGAGAAACCCCGATGTGCTGGCTGTGATGAGGTATATTCTCTGGGGCCACCTGCATGCAGGCTCATTTTCGTAGCCCTGTATGGCCCCCTTACGGTCCTAAAGCCACCCTTAGTGAGAAGGCAACGTGAATTAACCAAGCATCAGGTGCTTTATTTACATTCAAAGAGGTTGAATGAAAAAACTTTTAATTTCAGTCATTTCAAGAGCCATGTTAATTGTGTTGCCTAATGAAAGTTTGTCCAGAAACATAAAAGATTGATTTGGACTAAATTAAATAATAACCAAAGTTCAAACTTTAGGTTATTTTCAAACTTCACTCAAGAAAGTAAGTTGATATACTTGTGGATTTAAATCCCTTATTGTCTAAGCAAAAAGTGATTATTTGTTATTTGTAGCAAAAAGAAAAATTCATGCTTCATCTAAATTTTGTCTTCTTCCCAGCTGATATTCAGCAATGAGTATACTCAGGCAGAAAACCAAAATTGGCATCTGAAACACTTCTGCTGCTTTGACTGTGACAACATCCTAGCTGGAGAAATATACGTGATGGTCAATGACAAGCCCGTGTGCAAGCCCTGCTATGTGAAGAATCACGCTGTGGTAAGAAGCATTCTGGGATATAATTGCCTCATTCGGCTTTGTGACTTGACTCTATGCCTTTATTTAAATGAGAAACAGAAAGTGCTACTCTCAAATAGGAAGCATGTGATTCCTACCATAGGGTGTTAATATCTAGATAATTCAAAAGCAATTAATACTCATTAAATTGATTTGACTTGCAAGTTTTGGTTTGACTTTGGTAAATCTTAATGATTTACTATTTACCATTGGGTTGGACTAACAAAATATAAATGATTTATTTGCATGGGCCAAACATTTAAGTATTTAATGTGAGAGTATATATTTTTTCTTTGATTTACCCTGCTGTTGTATGATGGCCAAGAGATAGATAATTTAGATAAAGGGTAAATTTAAAAAGTTGACCATATATGATAAATCTTGAAGCCACAGGAGATATTAAAAGGGTATACATTTACTTATATGTGGGAAAACAGATACTAGTTAAAGATCCCCCTGAGCTATCAAGTAGAAGAGACTCCTGACTGACAAATAAAATGGCATTTTTGTGTAGTCCTAGGAGTATGATACAGTGAAAACAAGGTAACAAGTTTTGGTGTCAATGCCAATTTCCAGCCCTTACCCATTGTCCCCAGAGATTATTAGTCATTTTCTATCAACTATGCCTCATCAATATATCTCAGATCCTCACAATTATAGATGTTCTACTTTAGATCTTTATTTTCTCTTATTTGTATTATTGCAGTGACCTCAGATTTGGTCTTTTCATTTCCATTCTTGATCATGTTCAAAGCCACCTTACATAATGATGGAAGGTACTCTTTCTAAAATGCAAATCTGATCTTTAAGCCTTTGCTTAATAGATCCAGTCTCTTCTTGCCCATCTAAGCTGCTTCTACTAGTTATCCAACCCATATGCTACATTTCCACAAGTGAGCAGTATTGTTGGTTTATACTCCTCTTTGTCGTCTGCTCACACTTAAACCTTTGTCTGATATACCCTCCTATTCCTGTTTTACCTGACTATGCCTACACATTCCTCCAGACTCAGTTTAGGCTTAACATTTTTCAGAACACCCTTCCTGATTCCCTACCTCAATCTCTATCCCTCTTTCTTCCCATGGGGCCCGTCGTGTGTGCTTGCCCAAGTGTGCAATTGTTAATATTACTCATCTGTCTCCTCCACTAAACAATGAGCAGCCAGAGGATAGAACTTGCCTTTTTATTTCCATGTCTTTAATATCCTCAATGCCTGTACCTAGGAAATGTTTAAGTGACTGACTTGCGTTCTGATATTTTTCATTTTGGAGGGGTCAACATGGACCCTCCTTATACCCGAGGAAAAGATGCTCAGTCACCATGTGGCCTGATACACAATTTAACCAAAAACCTGCTTCTCTGAATGTTGTTGCAACAATTTCTCTATAGAAGAGGGTTATCATAATGTGTATTTTATTGTAGGGTGTGTGACCTTGGTCTCAGGGCTAGAATGTAAACTTCATGAGGGCAGAGATTTTTGTCTGCTTTGTTTCTGTTTTTTCAAACACCATAACAACACAGTAGGTAATAAATATTTATTGAATAAAGCTTTAAATAGATGAAGCCATTTTATTTAACTGTTAACATTGCATCTACATTGTATCTAATCGGTGGAGAGGATTACAACCAGATACAATTTATTCATTCATTCATTCATTCATTTTTTATTTTTTATTTTTTTAGGCGAGGCAACCCTTGGTCGACCTCACAGATTGCAAGGACTTTGTCAGTTTACCATCCCTTATTTTTTTATTTTTTACATCTACAACACCTGGTCGTCCTAGGTGGTCTTCCATCCAAGTACTAACCAGGCCCGGCCCTGCTTAGCTTCTGAGATCAGATGGGATCAGGCTTGTTCAGGGTAGTATGGCTGTAGACTAGTTAACAGTTTTTGATTTCTAACTGGATTCATGATGGTCAGAGAACACATTCAGGGTGGTATGGCTGTAGACACAATTTTTTTAAAAAGAGAGAATCTCTAATAAATCATTTAGCTTTATAATAGGGCATGATTTCTTTTAAAGGTTTACTGTTGTATACGATGTACTACTGTTCTTTGCCTAATATCAAAATGAACATATATTATTATCTCCTAAACAAACTCCAGGTGATGGCAAAGAAAGCTACAGGGCATTTCTGAGGAAAAAAACTAACTTGGGAGGAAGATAGTGGTAAATGCATTAAGTTTGTCTGCACAGTCTCTACAATTCAATTTTCAAATGACCACCCCCAGAATTCACATCTACAAGATTTCACGAGACCTTGCTGCTAGAAAGCGCATGAGAGCACGTGTCATTAGCTATTTCACATTATGTATATAAGTAAAATAAAAGAAGTAGGAGGGCTTGAGGGAAATAAGAACTTTGAAATAGTTGGAGTTTAAGAACACCAGAAGCATATCGTCGTCTCGCCGAAGGGTTCCGTAGTCCTCAGGTCCTCAGTGAGGCCTGGGCAGCTTCCAGATTTATGAAGTGTTAGAGATCAGTAGGTTTTTACCTAGGATTATATGTCATACTTTGGGATGAATGGCAATCAAATTATTAATAAAACTAAATTTTATGAAACCAAAAACCCTAAATTCTAATACCATTCAGTGTGTTCATTGGTTATGTTTTTACCTAAATAATTTTTCTAATTTTATGTATAGGTGAACAATGGTTATCTCTTTTATAAATTACAAATGAAAATGTGTGTTTTAAAAGATTATAAGATCCACAAATCTGATTATATGACTGAGCCAAAGAAGGCAGACAATGGTCTAAACGCAAGAGGACAAAAAGTTGAACGTGAAGTGCTTTTACACAAACAAGTTTAAAAATATTGAAAAATTAAAATATAAAAAGCCATGAAGGAGAACATTCTAAATGAATTATAAAGATAAAAAATTAATATGTGCAAGAGCAATTGTTTGCCTGGTACAGCTACAAATTAGGAGTGTGTAATTATAACACTCATTTTTGTTGTATTCAGGAATAGTGTACTGATTATGCAAATAGAATATCTCCTTTGCTTCTCAGGGAAGACTGGGTAGACATGATGTATGACTTAAGTAACTACAGTATCTGCAATCAGAAGCCATGTAACTCTAAAAAATATGGAAATTGTATTACAGGCCTGAAATGGATATTTGTAACAATACCCTAAACCAATTTATCCTCTGAGTAGCAGCCACATTTGAGGCCTTTTCAAGTAAGAAGGCTCAGGCTAACTAACCTCAACCCACCTTCACCTCATCTCAGCAGTTCCTGACAATCACAATAAGAGACCGAGTGTGATGAAGTTTAGTCACGTGCATGTAATACTGGACAATCTTGTTGGTTTCTTCACTTATTATAAAATATTTAAAACAAAAACTTTTACATTCATTTAGAACATATATAAACAAGGCATATGGACTATACAGCGTTTTGGAGGTCTCAATTAACTACTTTCTTCTATGAGGGTTATTTTCTTCATATATATGTTCAACTAAAGAAGAAAATTATGGATGTGTGTATGTCATATGTATTTGTACATAACATACATATATACTGAATAGTATAGGGAATGTAAGTATTAATATTCTCCAATATTAGATTTTACATAAATTTTGACTTATGACAGAACAGAAGCCAATTAACTACAAGTTGTATTTTTAGTGCAAACTAATTATTCTCACTGTCAGTATATTTAATGAGTCCTTAATTACTTTAACATGATTTTCATTTACTACTGTCTAGAAATTAGTAGTGTTAATTTCATGTATCATAGGTAAGACTGATAAAATTACCACTTCAAAGCTTTAATGAGTGAGGAAAAGTCTTTTTTTAATGACAAGTGTTTTTAGAGCAGTTTTAGTTTTACAACAAAATTGAAAGGAAGATAGGGATTTCCCATAGACCTGCCCCCCACCCCAGCACATGCGTAGCCTTACCCATTATCAACATCACTCACCAGAATGGTACATTTTTACCAAGGTGGAACCTACACTGACACATCATAATCACCCAAAGCCCATATTGACCTTGGGGTTCACTCTTGGTCTTGTACACTCTATGGGTTTGGACAATGTATAGAATGAACAGATGATATACATACCCATTACTAAATTATCAAATGGAGTATTTTCACTGCCCTAAAAGTCCTCTGCCCTCTGCTGTTTTTCCTTATCCATTTTTTTTCACTTAGTAGTTTGTGTTTATATAGTATATAGCCTTTTCATATGGAGTTCTTTCACTTAGTAGTTTGTGTTTAAATTCCCTCCATGTGTTTCCATGTCTTGATAGCTCATTTCTTTTTAGCATTGATTAATATTTCATTGTCTGGATATACCACAGTCCATATATTCACCTATGAAGGACATCTTGGTTGCTTTTAAGTTTTAGCAATTATGAATAAAGATGCTATAAACATCCAGGTGTGGGATTTTGAGTAGACATAAGTTTTCAACTCCTTTTGGATAAATACCGAAGAACATGATTATTGGATTGTGTGATAAAGAGTATGCTTACTTTTGTAAGAAACTGCCAAACTCTCTTCTACACTAGCTGTACTATTTTGCATTCCCACCACTAACGAATGGGAATTCCTTTTGTTCCATGTCCTTCTCAGAATTTCATGTTGTAGGAAAAATCATAAACTTTTTATAATTACTCCTGTGTAATTTAATAGAATATGCTGGAACGAAAACACTGCCCTGGAACTTGTCATCAAAACTTTCTGCCTTGAATATTATAGGGGTATCTTACAAGCATCAAATCACCTGTTTGGCCTTCACCTGTTATTTCTCACAGTGCTCAGCATATAGACCCCTTTTAACAGTTGTTGGCTAAAAAGATTAACTAGAAGGTCACTCTCATTCTTATTTGTATCATTAACTTAACAGGTATGTCAAGGATGCCACAATGCCATTGATCCTGAAGTGCAGAGAGTGACCTATAACAACTTCAGCTGGCACGCGTCCACAGAGTGCTTTCTGTGCTCCTGCTGCAGCAAGTGTCTCATTGGGCAGAAGTTCATGCCAGTGGAGGGGATGGTGTTCTGTTCAGTAGAGTGTAAGAAGATGATGTCTTAAGAGGAAAGCACCAGGCTGTGTTGAGCCATAGGTATCCCAAGTGGTATGCATTTCTACTGTAAAATGCAATATGGAAAAATAAATGGAAAAAGAAACTATAAAGGAAACCAGAAGATTTTGTTAAATATCTTTCTTTGCTGTTTTTCCTTATCCATTTTTTTTCATCTCAACATTTAAAACCTGGTTTAAGCATTTGATTTTAAAAATAGTAAAGAATTTTATCTTTCTTTAGCTTTCCAGATGTAAAATCTTTGAGTGGGAGGCTTGGGATTAATTAATTTTTATATCCCTGTCCCCCTTGTGCTAAACCAAGTATATATGCAAAAGTATATATGAAACACTTGAAAGTTGGTGTGCTGAATGGAAAGATGAGCATTTCTAGCTCTGCATTCTTTTTTCCCCTCTAGTGTAAAATGAAAAGGCAATTAAAATTTTCCTAATGTCAAGGCTCTACATTTATTGCCTCATCTTATTCACTGAACGTTGTAGCAATACACAGTGAATTCTTTTGACAGGGAAATAGAAATGCAGCATAGTATGGAGAGCTGTTATTTTAATGCCTAAGCATTCTCTATATCCTAATTTAGGCAGAGGTGACTTTATTGCATTTCTCTCTTTTTATTTGCCCTACCTCTCAGTATTCTCTTTATAAGCTGGTGACCTCCATCTGTGGCCTTGAATATTTTATTGTCACATGTGGCATCCACACTTTTTACTTCTATAGGTTTTTGGCTTGGACACTAAAACCAAAGCACTCATTTATGTAATGTTTTCAATCCAAAGAACATGTATACTTTTTGTAGCCAAGAAAATATAACTTGCATCGATTGCACTTGCCTGGCATGGTGCAGATAGATTTTTTTGCATGGTTTTTATTCTTTTCTAATGGATATTGTCCTATGATGCTTCTAAGCCTGTTCATAGGTATATGGAATATCTTCTTCACCTATATAACTTTCATCCTTAGGTATTCCTAATGTTTACTTCCACTATATACTTCCATAAACTATGCACTATGAAAATTAAGTGTAACGAATGATATGTATACTATTATTCAAAATAAAATCTCGTTCACTTTAAGAACTGAACCTTTGTTTTTCATATCCTTTTTGTTTGAGAGCAAAAAACAATCCTACAATTAAGCGCTGTTACAGCAGGGGGCGCTGTGTCCAAGGGTTAAAAATTACTGAAACTAAAACAAAGGCTTCTCTGACAAGACAGAACAATAACTAGGCTTTTTCGTTATGATGAAAAGATAAGTTTTATGAAACTTCAAAATAAATCAAAGCATTTAAGTTGTTAGTTTTAAAGTCATGTGGGAGTTTTTTTTTTTCCCTTTCAGAAGAAGAAAGTGGCATTTTAATTGAAGTTTGGGAAAAGTTTATATTCTCTTGAAATAAATCTAACAGGTATTACTCATACTTAAATTACAACTCTATTTGGTATTCTGAGAATTTTTTTTTATTTTTTATGGCGGCCTATTGTGAAAAGGAAGCAAATGTGGAATAATAGATTCATTCTTCCTATTAGCAAATCATAAGATATCCCTTTTTCCCCTCTGTGTGAAGTATTTCTATTATAGTGGAAATAGCAGTTTTCTCTGACACATACCCAGAATAATTTGATTTTTTTTTTCAGTTCCTGCTTGTTTGACTAATAGTGCTTCTCCCTAAATTCTACCCCTACTACTCACCCCCAGACATGGCTAAGTGAGAATAGATTGAGATAATTCTCCTGCCTGCTGACATGGCCGCTCCTCATATGTCTGCCTGTTAAGCCTCCATTCTTCTGGGGCTGAGGTAGAATCAGATGTAGAGGCTGAAGAAATTTGACCAAAGCCATAACTTACTACCAGAGGTGCTAATTGCATGGATATTAGGTATTTTCTAGAAGAAAAAACTACTTTCCCTGGGAAGTACAGAACCACTAGGTTTGACTCATTATTCTTATTTAGTTTGGTCTTGTAATATAAGAGAATGAGCTCTCTGTATGAGAGGTTTCAAAGTACCCTGCCATTTTTAATTATTAATCAGATTAAAAAAAATTTCAACTACTTTGCCCTATAAACACTTAATAAGAAAATAAGGTGGTTGCTAGATTAAATCCTTCCCCTGCAATAGGGAAAAGATAGGGAAGCAATAAAAGTTTTTAATCTTGATGCATGTATTTTTTTTTCTTCAAAAGTGGACAATGAAGAATAACCTCTTGTTCTACTTATTGGTCAATAAATGGAAATCTCTTCATCCCAAACCCATTTATGTTCTGTTTTTCAGAGATATAGCTTATCATTTTTGTACTTAATATAGTAGGCATTTAACAACTACGTCTGTGCAGTGAGATGTAGAGAGACTCTCTCCCTGAAAGGGACTAGATTGGGAGGGAGAGCATACTAGAATATGAAACACGATAAAGGCACCACAGAAAGTAAGAAAAGATGTGTTTTCCCTTCTGCTGAAGCCACTGTCTTGGATATTACAAGATATAATGATGACTTCTGATCCTCCTATGCCCTAAACAGCAGTGGGTACCTGAGAACAGAAGGAGTTAGATGAGAAAAAAAGAGGGGAGATATTTCTTTCCTGAGACCCAGGAAGTTCAAAAGATTTTGACACATCATTCGTTGCTGAAGTATACTGAGGTGACACGTTTATTATCGTATTGGAACAGAATGATTAATCATGAACTCATTCACAGATGTGCTCATATCCTATTCATCCCTAAGCAGAATTTTGCTCGTAACCCTTGGATACAGTTATAGTTTTGAGAAATCAGTGGATTTGAGTTATCTAATCCCATTTAGAAATGCCAGTTACTCAAGAACTCACTGGCCTTCATATTTGCTGTATCTTTTTTTATTTTTACTTTTTTGGAAATGAGAGACAGAGTTGTTTTTTCTTTAATCAACTTAAGCTGAAACTTCTATGACTGAAGTCTTCAAGCATAGATTTACAAATCTGACTTTGAAGTATTTCAGCCCTATTTCACCGAAGGCAAAAGATTCATTATTGACTCATTCTTAAGGAATTTCCAACAGGCAGTGTTTAAGCTCATCCAACTTCACCATGGTTACCAGAGAGACACTACCACCCGAGATCAGTATTAAGCCTTTGTTTCAAGATGCCCTGGCATATCTGAACTTGTCTTTCGGGTGTTCACTTATTTCTTCAGAAAACTCATGACTCCAGTAATGTCTCCATAAAATAGCATTTTACCACCAACTGTACTATATTCTTTCTGCCCCTCCCTGACGTCTCCTGATTTAAGTACTCAATGACAACTTTGGTGATTATACTGAATACTCACATATGTGAAAAGGACTCATTGTGCTGGAGCACATGGGTGTGTTTTGAATATACAACCTGAAACACATTCTTGCTTAACAGAATCTTTTTTTTTTTTTTTTTTAATGTATTTACTAGATGCTTAAATAGCTTTAGCTAATTATTTTGTCTCTTCCTGGGAAACATGTCATTGTAGCTTCTATTTAATTTGATAATGTATTTTGAAACACTCAAAACAAGATATTATTAATCTTTTATACTTGTTTTGAATGGCATTTCATGCTGACATTTATGAAGGCTGCTCTTGATTTTTCTTCAATGATACTTCTACCCAGGATATCTTGATCTTCAGACAATAACGAAAACAACTCGTACCTAGTTATCTTTACTAGAGTCAGCCATTATTAAACACAGAGACATTAGAGTTAATGTCACCAGAAATACTGACTGAAAGCATCATACTAGTTTAAAGGAGGAGTGCTGGTTTTAAGAGTCTAGAGACCTTCTAGCCAAGTCCCATTGATTCTCTCCTCAGAGTTACAGCTAAGTAGGATGGAGAACCAGATTGTTGGATTCGGGGAGTCTAGGAAATAATAGGCCCAAGTATGGGATGGACATCTATAAAAATGTTGAAGTCATCAAGAATAAGGGAAAACGGTGGAGAGAACAGTGAGCCAGAGGCTATCAGTTATTAAAAAAAAAGTTATTAAAAAAAAATGCAGGAGTATCCTGTAGTTTGACAGAAGTGGAAACTAAGAGATGAAATGAGTAGTAAATCTGAGGCCATGCACTATACTTCAAAGAGCTCATTGCTAGGAAACATACAGGAATTAGTGGAAATAACAATAGAGAATGAGTAAGACATCTACCCCATAGGCATTGTGAAATGCCCATATGGGAGAAAAAATAACTGGCCTCTATTCAGAGTACTACAGAAGAAATACAGACTTTGAGGGATAACTGGGTATCAGAGCAAGGAGATGAAGGGAGTTGATAGTTCACAGGAGTTGCATTTCAGAGGGCACAGAGGTAAAGTTAAGGAGTATAGGAAGACCAGGTTAAGGGATTTACAAAGCAGAATGGATATCAAGTTTCCAAATGAGACCAAAACATACAGATAGATGCCTGGGATAAGCAGGACTGAGAGGCATACCAAGGTTAGTTTTGATAGTTTGCTAGAGAAGGATGACAATCAGTTATGAATGCCTTTGGCTGTAAGTAATGAAAAGCACAGCTAAGACTGGCTTAATACAAGACATAGGCCAGCACAAATTTGGCTTAGAATAAGCTCTTTTTAATCTCTCTGCTCTGCCATCTTGTATGTGATTCCTTCCATTTTCAGATCTGTCCTTTTATTCAAGCACTATGCCTTCAAAAACAGCACTCAAAGTATAAAGCCAAGAAGGGGGAAAAGGGCATTTTAATCTCCTAATAAGGAGAAAAATCTTTCCCAGGAGTCCCAAAATGGTGAATAACAAAATGAATTAAGTAACATCTGAGTAAGCCATGAAAACCAGGTAAGAGTTTCACTAGTCGAGATGTAATTCGTTTGGTCTAAAAAACGAAGTAGTAGAAGAAACATAGTTCAGTAGCTTTAAGTTAAAAAAAAAAAAAAGAAATTTAATTGAATTTTTTAAATGCCAATACAAGGATCAAAGTACATTGCTCTCAGCAATACTTACCAAAATTTCATCTTCTCTCCTACCTGCTTTTCTCACACCACCGGCTTCTATCTCCCCAAGTCCCCCAAACCTCAATTTTTCCCAATTTCTTTTTTTGCACTCTGCCATCTCCACTTCTCTCCATTGCTTCACTCATTTATTCATTCACTCACTCAATATTTATTGAGCATTTGCTATATGCTTGGACTGGTTGCAGGCACTGGGAGCAAAGCAGTGAACAAGATAAACAAGATCCCTGCTCTCACAGTGCTTTATGTTCTAGGGAAAATAGAAGTAATTTTAACACATATAATGAAATGTAGCCAAATGGGGAGAATAAGATTCAAGATCAGAGAATATATAAATAACAAGAGGAAGTCAAAGCCATTCAAATATTAGCTAATAAGGGCTTACATTGTAGCGATAATGAGGTTCAAATTGTTCTAAGATTCCAAGCATTCACTTTTATCATTACATGTGAGAACTGGTGTCCTCTTTGACAGTGTGAATGGATTGAGAGAAGTCTGTGAACTCACCCACATGAATTATTAATAGCCCAGTGCCTAAGAAATTACTATTAGATCTTAGTGCTAACAGAGCTTTACTCTCCAAAGGAAGATGTGCATTTTCTCATTTCTAAAATTGAGAGTAACACAAATAACTACATCTCCCTTTCACTTCGACTTTCAGGAAACTTTGAGCAAAATCTAACCCTCACTATCATAGCACTTAAATATCTTTTAGTTTTCCAGACAACTTTATTGTGTAAGTTCATTTGACCTGCTTCAAATTCTTTTTTAATTAGATAAGGTGTCTTTTCGGTTAGCATCATTTTTTTTTTCTTTTCCAAATAACCAAAAGGGTTATTCATTATAAGGGTATAGGCAGGAACTTGTCAAGCTGAGGAAAGAATAGAAACTGGGTTGGGCAACCATCAGAAGTCTTCCCCATCTTGCTCTCATCCAAGTTATTCCCAGAATATCTGCTCTATTTTTCTTTTCTGTGGACACGTTCTTTCTGGTCCTGAGTCCACAGAGTTAGTGAAAGATGGATGCCCTAACACTTCTGATTTTATGTTACAAATCTAGTCATGGGCTGCCTCTAGGCTCTGATTCCAAATTCCCTAAAAAGAAAATCTGATTGACCTCAATTGTTTCATATTGTTTAAGCCAGTTTATGCCCAGGAGACATAGTCATGCAACCTAAGCCAAAGTTACAAATCTCCCCAAATGAGGTTTGAGGGGGAAACAGAATGGGAATAAAAAGGTTTAGGGTGAGCAATTTAGAGGGTCATCTACAAGATGACTATGATGATTGTAAATAAGTAGTTAGAAGGATAGGTGACAGATATTGGCTAGATGATCACCAAACTTATTTCCAGTGAGACTATATTTCCCAGCATCCACTGAAGTTGTGTAGGGCTTTGTGATTGAGTTTTACCCAACAACATAAGAGCATATAATGTGATCCCCCTCTAGGCTTGACCATTAAAAGTCAAGATTCCCAGGCAGTGCCCCCTGCAGTCCCCCAGATCTGTCTCTTGCTTCAACAGTGTTTGGGTGGAACAGACCCAGAGACATTCTTTCTTCCAGCCTCCGACCACCCTCCAACCTCTTTTCCAGTCACAACCTTTGGAACCTTCTCAGCCATCCTTGGCCTCTGAGACCAGCCAACACCGTGTTTTGAGCTTAATTCCTTATTGCCGAACAACCATGAGCTCTCAAATCTGTCAGAATTATTCCACCGAGGTGGAGGCGGCATCAACCACCCGGTCAACCTGTGTCTGCAAGCCTCCTACACATACCTCTCAGGACTTCCACTTCAACGGAGTTGATGTGGCTCTGGAAGGCATTGGCCACTTCTTCCCAGAGTCAGCCGAGGAGAAACTTGAGGGTGCCAAGTGTCTCTTGAAGATACAAAACCAGTGTGGCAGCCGCACCCTTTTCCAGGACCTGCAGAAGTCTTCTCAAGATGAGTTGGGTAAAACTCAGGAAGCTGCATGGTCATACAGAAGAACCTGAACCAGGCCCTTTTGCCCTGGGTTCTGTCCATGCAGACCCCCATCTCTGTGACTTCCTGGAGAGCCATTTCCTAGACGAGGAGGTGAAACTCATCAAGAAGATGGGTGACTACCTGACTAACCTCCACAGGCTGGCCGGCCCCCAGACTGGGTTGGGCAAGTATCTCTTTGAAAGGTTTATCCTCATGCATCACTAAGAGCCTCTGGAGCCAAGAGGCTTTTGAGAGGCCCTTCTGCATCCCCCTGGCCTTGTGCCTGCACTTCTTCCTGAAACCAATAGGCAGCCTTCTAATCATCCTGGAGCCCTCTCCCATGCCTTGGACCAAATTGAAACAATAAAACTTTTTGCAGCACAAAAAGAGTCAAGATTCCCTTGAAGGTGGTGGAGCCAAAAGATAAAGGAGGCCCTCCTTTCCACACTGTAGCATACTGGAACACACTATGCGCAAGAAGTAAGCATTTATTGTTTTAAGCCACTGAGATTAGGGTTGTTTATCATGAACATTAATCTTTCCTAACTAGTACAGAGAAATAAAGCACACCATTTATTCGTTCTACAAACATCTCTTGACTAGGTCATGTGTTGCATTGGGATGCTTGGAAACAGGATGAATAAGGTTAGCACTACTGCTCTAAATTCTTCATAGTCTCATGGAGGAGACAGATGAGTAAAGAGCAAATTAAAGTAATGAAGACTTGTCTCTGAAAGGAGACAACAGAAATGATCCTAAAGTGACTGCGATATTAAAATGTCTTCTCTAATAACAGAGATTATTATCACTGTTTTCCTAGGTGAGTGGATGGATACACAAAAATATTACAAAGACAGAGTTTAAAATGCCTGGTCACACTTGATTGAAGGACAGGGAAGAGTCAAGGTCAACCCAGAAGCCCTTAGCCCTGCCAATTAGAAGAATGGTGGCAACTTCGACAGAAACAGGAAATCCACTTATGGAGGAGATAGGTTGAGAGAAAAATGATGAGTTTTCTTTGGAATATGTTGAGCTTGAGACGGGTGGAGGAATACAATTTGGAACCTGAAATCTGTATCTCAAAAAAACAAAAACAAAATAAAAAACCTCTGGTTAGATATATAAAGAAGTCAACAGATGAAAGTAATGTTAACAATTTTCATATTAACTTACAAAAAGGGATCCTATTCTTCTTATGAAATATGACTATGTCAATGATACTTTTGAAATGATTTTCATGTTACTCTATTTTTTTCCCAGGGTAAAATTAAGACAAGTTCAGTATATTTTCTCTGTTCTAAAGAAATAAAAATTATACTAGCAGTTTCAGTATTTCCACACTAGACAAGGAAAGTTCTGAGCAACCACTTAACCTCTCTCTGTGTCTCAATTTCTCATTTATAAAATAGAAATATCAATCCCTATGTGGCAAATTGCATTTTCAAAAATAGCCATAGTCATACTCTGTTTCTACATGCTCTTTCAGAACATTGCCAGTCACCATCTGGAGTCTATCTTCCCTCCCCTTGAAACTAAGCGGGACTTTGTGACTACCGGGATGAACTGAATGTGGCATGCATGCCTTCCTATGCTAGGTCACAACAAGTGACATGACCCCTCCAGGCTCTCTATCTTGAATGATGAAACCCAGTTATTACACTATGAGGAAGTCCAAAGTAGCCTACTTGGAGGGTCCATCGGAGAGGTCAACATGAAGAGGTACTGAGGCTCCAAGCTCAATACCAGCATCGATCCCAGACAGGTGAGTGATGATTCTTCAAATGATTCTATTCCCCAGCCTCAAGGCTTTGAGTTGAAGACTCTGACATGAGCAGAGACAAGCTGAACTCACTGTGTCCTGTCTAAATTCCCAAACCATAGATTCCATGAACTTAAATGAATGGTTGTTTTATGCCACAAATTTTGGGGTAATTTGTTATGCAGCCATGTTATCAGTCACATCTATTGAACAGAATTATTTGTTAAATAAAGGAGAATTCCTGAAAAATATGTGAATTTACTCTGCATACTACAAAATGTTATTTGTATAAATGTACTACTTAGGTTATTAACTTTTATTCTTTTATCCACCTTTCTTCTCCCTTTAATTAAGGATTTATACAGTTGTGCAGTCTTAATAAATGTAAGTCCATAAACTGTCTGTAGAATTTATAAACATCAGGAACATTTATAATAATCTAGACTTAGAAAACCTAGTGAGCACTATTTTTCAACACAGTACATTCCAAGGTTTGAGGTCATGACCTGGAAGCAAGCAGGAGGTTTATATTCCCATGGAGAATCGTCAGTTCTTGAATTCCTTTGCTGGACAAATGGAATCCTCAGCACTCCAGTTGCCAAGGTGAGAAACACCTTTAGTGCTACTAATGAGTCAATGGGAAAGAATTTAGAATACTGGGCCATGTTTATTCTCCAGATTCTATGAAATAAAATTTTATTTAATGAAAATTGAGTGGGGGTTTATTAATCACCCACAATTCTCAAGTACTGTGGGTATAAAACTCTATACAGTATAGGCCTTGCCCTCAAGAAGTTCACAATCTCATATCCCATAAAGGAAACAGGTATTTAAATGAACTAACAATCCATTGTGATAAACCAAACAGAAGATAGAAAATCTGGAGATTAGCCCAGAAGTTTGTCAATTCTTACAGTTTACCAAAGAATAATGGCATGCGATACTATTCATAATCAGTGACTTACCCAATTCTAACAATTTTTTTCTGAAATTTAAAAATGAATTACTCCTTTTAAATTTATATAATTTAGGTATCACACCTTCAAAATAGTTAAATGTTTGTAAGAGTGAATAGCAAAAGAGCTTGTGAGTTTTGGCAGTCCTACCTGACAAAGGCTTGTAGTACTTTATTTTTTGTCCACACACATTTCCTCTCTTCTTGTTCCAAATGCAGTTCTACTAATAGTCTTGAAATGGGGGCTAGAGAAGCAGGAAAGAGGGAAGCTGGGACAACTTAGGACCACAGTGACAAACGGTACTTTTATTCTGAATTGATTTTCTGCCAAATGGTACTGCGCCCAGTATTTTCCAATATCAGGAAATACCCTGTACAGTTATTGCAAAATCTGTGAGATAATTGTAAGGCACTATTATGAAATCATCATCACCATTGAATATTCATTAAGGATTCCCCTCTGCCCACTGCTCTGGTGGCAGGAGGCAGAGCAAATACACACGCAGCGGGCTGCACCCCAGAGGGATGATTCAGCATCTCGTCGAGGGCCTAGAGTAACTCTTGCTTCTTCACCTGTAAAACAAACACAGGAATTCCCATTATGTATCTCCCACCAAAGGTCTTTAGATGATAATCATAGAGCCCTTTTCAGAGTACTTAATGTGGGTTTCACCAAAGGAAGAGTTAATAGCTTTAAAATAACTTTTCTTAAGTTTGTGTTGGGAGAAGCATTATCATGTGAGAGCACATTTTGGCTGAAATATTTTTTTTAAGTTTATTTTTTTAATTGCCCTAACATTCTTTTGATCAGTAGAGCTAAGTCGCTGTTCTAAATGCTTTATACACATACACTCACTTAATCTTCGCAACAACATTTGGACGTAGGTACTTTTATTTTATCATTTTATAGATAGCAAACCGAGGACAGTGGGATTAAGTAAGACCAAAACCGCAAAGCTAAGAAGTGTAAGAACTGGAATTCGAACTCTGACCCCAAAGTCTGCATTCTTATTTACCTCATCATACTGCCATATTGAGTACAAGTCTCTTCCCTTTCATATAAATTATGTCAGGATCACATAAAAGTAGTTTTCTTTTGCTTATTTGCCCTTCCACAGTAATTCCTCCCGTGCAGCTTTGCATCTTCCAACAGCATTCGCCAGTCCTTTAAAGAAAGAAAGGCCTTCCCTCGTTAAGGAGTTGCTCCATATCTCATTGATTCTGGGCCGTGCAACCAGCAGCAGCCCCGGGTCAGCCTGCTAAAGACAGAACCCTTTCTGTTTCTCAACCTAATCCCTCAGCGTTTGAGCTGAAAATAAGAACTACCCTACTGAGGTGCCAAAGGAAACATACTTACATTATGAAGTGTTACTAACAAATGTTTCAGAGATTTTAAAAGGGTACATTTCTGAATATCTGAGGCATTTGTAAACAACCCAGACATACAGGACATTTGCAGCCCAAGCTCTGTTTCTGGGTTGTATAATCTTCTTCTTGAAAACCAGCACAGCTGTTGCAATACCGTTTATCAATTGTTCAATGATACCAACAAATGTTTTCTAGGGTCAAAGTAATTAAAATGGTATTCCAGTCCTTTGATTTTGAAATGCGCATTGTTAATATAACTTTGGCATTCTTTAACAGATTACCAAGTGGAATCAGAGGTTTATGTTTATAAAGTTTATAATCATTCTACAAAGTTCAAGAAGTTTGGCAGTGGTTTGAAAACTTGAAAAGAGTAATAAAAGGTTGCCATGAGGAATTCAAAGCTGCCTTGTATGGTAATGCTGATTCAAACTTGCACATACTTCAGCATTACAAGTTTAGTGGTGATTTTAGGGATGGATCAGTGTGTAGCTGCAGAATAGCTACAAAAGTATAACAGTTGTTTGCCAGTTACAGGATGAATAGAGACTTTGGAAAACTTACAATTAATATCTCAGCTTTGAAAGCACATTAGAGAAATGGGAACGTGAGAGGAAGACAGAGAGACAGAGATGGAGAGAATTGTGATTTCACTTACTTTTTGGCCTCATTTACTAAGTATTTATAGCCTCCTTGACTCTCAGCAGCAGCAGCTTCACCTTGCCTTGTAATTGTAAACCGTACACTTTTGCCAACCTGGAATGCACTCTGTGTTTCTGCCCACCCCAAACCCGCTCTGAGTACATGCTCTCAAACACTGCTATCCCAAGCTCTTGATTTGTTGTCAGCCAGTAAAAGGAGTTTCCTTATGAATCATACTGCGTAGGAAGGCTGAGTGGTAGACCCTACACTTGTGCTTTAATCTGTATGGAATGCATTTGAAATAGAAATTGAGAGTTTTGTTCAACATCTGACTTCGAGCACGTTCTCAAGAAGTTGGAGTGTGACATGGAAAAATCATGGTGTCTCTCCTGCTATGGAAAAGTTACTCCCATGAGATTGTCTCCAAAGGGGTAGGAGCCACGGTGCACATGTTTGGGTTCCGAGGTCCCTGATTAGGAATAAGCCCGTTTCACGACCCTTGCAGATGACCCAGCTTTTCCATTTGGATAATAAAAGTAGTCCTTCCTTTGGTAAGTTGAAATGGAAAGGTGCGTGGCTGAAAATACACAGTTGCTGTAGACAAAGACTTTTATCGATTCTGTTGAACAACTGTAAAAGCTGACGGATCACACTTTTAATGGCAAGAAGGTGGCTAAAGAATATTATATGTGTCTTTATAAAAGTAGAAACAGATGTGAGAACATCATGTTTCTTCATTTGTTTACAATAAGTTGAAGAAAATGAATTTTCTTACCAGGAATAGACACATTTCACTAAATAAATTAAGACACTTACTGATTTTGATTAACATTCAAAGAAACGAGTCAAGTTATTTACCTCACATACCTTGTAACATATATTTCCAAATATAGGCAAGTGACATAAGAAAAGGGAAATGAAAAATAAATAATCTATTTTGGATACTTATAAATTTGGCTTTATACAAAAGTCCCTATAGCATCAATAATCTGATAGGGTCGCTAGATATAGCTGATGTCAGCAAATTCACCATCAACATATAGAAAACATCAAGGCTGTGTTAATTTACTTAATCAACAATCAATCACTCAGAGTTTAGCAAAAACTGTGATATTCACGAGGTGTACAAGGAAGCCCTGGGCTCAAGAAGCTCACCATGTTGGGAGAGAGGCACACATGCAAAGGAGTCATTATAAGGTGTGTTAAGCCCTCAGTAGAGGGGTACACAAAGGGAGTAGAGATGAGAGCAGAGCAGACTTCAGGGAGGAAGGTGGCATTTGGACTGGGTCATTAATGGAAGTGTAAGTGACACACTCCAGTGAGCGTTCATGACACAGAGCTGCTAAAACCCTTGGAATTTCCTAACTGATGAGAGAGTTATTCATAACGAGCCTCTTTCAACTATACCTGAGTTTGCCAGAGGAACCAACCATGTCATTAGAGGGTTAGAACATTCACCACTACTCCCTGATCTCTGGAGAGAGGAGGGGGACTGTGATTAATCACCAATGGCCAATGATTTAATAAATCACACCTAGGTAATAAAGCCTCCATAAAAACCCAAAAGGACAGGGTTTAGGGGCAGCTTATGGGGTGGCGAACACATGGAGATGCTAGGAAAGTGGGGTGCGTGGAGAAGGCATGAAAGCTCCTCATTCCTTTTCTGTACGTTGCCCTAGTCATCTCTTTCATCTGGCTGTTCCTGAGTTATATTCTTTTATAATAAACCAGTAATCAAGTAAATAAACTGTTTTCCTGAATTCCATGAGCAGCTTTAGCAAATTTATTGAACCCAAGAGTTGTGGGAACCTCAGATTTATAGCCAGTCTGTCGGAAGCACAGGTTACAACCTGGACTTGCAATTGGCCTCTGAAGTGATGGGAAGGCAGTCTTGTAGGGCTGAGCCCTTAACCTGTCAGATCCTATGCTAGCTTCAAAAAATAGCTTAGGAAAAGTGTTAAGTTGTAGGACACTCAGCTGATGTCACAGAATTGTTTGGTGTGGAAAAAACTAATCACACATTTAGTGATCAGAAATGCCAGAAGTGAAGTAATGTGATGTGAAAGTAAGGAAACACATCTGATCACAGAAGTGTTTTCTGTACTTCTTAAAGAAACACACAGAACAGGTGTATTTTTTTCCATGAGAGATTAAACAGTAAAGGATATTGTAGACAGAAGTTACTGTTTGTGCAGTAACAAGACATGTTAGTATGTGGTGTCATGAGATCGTCGTAGTAGTTTTGATTGACGAAAGAGAGGGAATATTGGTGAGGAAAGTGATAGACTTTGAGCTAGTGAAGACAGGCAAGGTGTGAGTTTTCTTGTAAGGCTTGCTAAGGAGTATGAACTAAAAGCAATATCTTCCCAATGGTGTTGTATGAAATATTAACCTTATAGACCACTTGTTTCTTGAGTTATATATAGTGAACTGTGGCAAACAAAAGGTTTTTTGTTCAAGTAAGTTTGAGAAATGCAGGACTTATTTCACAGAACTTCTTGGAATCTTCAATATGTTAATCTATATGGCTAGAAAAGACATAGTAACTAGGGTAGATTTTCCCACACTTATTGATTGTAGGAACTTTATTCTGAACAAGTAAACCAGTGCTTCACATAAAGTAATTTGGAAATGCTGCTGTAAGCAATTGAGTGGAATTAAGGTCTTAATTGTTGAAAGTCAGGAAGATTCATGGCCAAATTTGTATTTCAGAACTGCAACTTTGGCAAATTAGAGAAGAATTGGAAGAGATAGAGTCAGGAGATGAATTGGGAAGCTAATGCAACAATCTAAACAAAGGCCATGAGAATGAAGGAGAAAACCTTAATTTGGGAGATTTTCAGAACTGACAGCATCAAAAGGCTAGTTGGTATGAGGAGTGAAAAAGTGAATGAGAAAGAAAAAGTAGATATGACTTAACCAAATAATAAAGGAAATATTATCAATAATGAGACAGATTGACACACTGTCTCTCTTGATGTGATGTACTTAGAGGACACAGCATCACTTACATTATATTCCTGACGACAATGCATAAACCGAAAAAACATCAGACAAACCCAAATTAATAGGCATAAAATCAATAATTGTACTCTCCAAACATATCAGTGTCATAAAAGACAAATAAAGGTTAAAGAAGCATCCCAGATCAAGAGATATGAAAAATAAGTGCAAGTGTGATTCTTTTCTTTTTAATTTTTTATTTTTTCAGTTACAGTTGGCATACAATAATATATGAGTTTCAGATGTACAACATAGTGATTAAACATTTATATAACTTACAAAGTGACCACCCGGGTAAGTCTAGTACCCATCTGACACCATACATAGCTATTACGAATTTATTGACTGAATTCCTTATGCCCCATGACTATTTTGTAACTACTAATTTGTATTTCTTAATCCCTTCATTTTTTCACCCACCCCAACACCCTCCCATCTGGCAACTATCAAAATGTCCTCTGTATCTATAAGTTTGTTTCTGTTTTATTTGTGTGTTTATTTTGTTCTCTAGATTCCACATGTGTGTGAAATCATGTGGCATTTGTCTTTCTCTTTCTGACTCACTCCACCCTGCACATCATCCTCTTGGTCCATTTATATTGTTGCAGATGGCAAAATTTCATTCTTTTTTATGGCTGATATTCCATTATATATGTTTTCTCTCTTCTTTATTCATTCATCTATTGATGGACACCCACATTGCCTCCATATCTTGGTTATTGTAAATAATGCTGCAATGAACATATAGATGCACATGTCCCTTTGAAGAAGCATTTTTGGTTTCTTTGGATAAATACTCAGAAGTAAGCTTACTGGGTCTTTCTTTGTCTCTTGCTACAGCCTTCGTTCTAAAGTTTATTTTGTCTGATATAAGTACCGTTGCCCCAGCTTTTTGGGGGGTTTGTTTGTTTCTATTTTAATGCAATGTCTTTTTCCATCTCTTTATTTTCAGTGTGTCTTTTCATCTGGAGGGAGTTTCTTGTAGACAGCGTATGTAAGGATCTTCTTATCCTTTTAGCCACACTATGTCATTTCATCCATTTACATTTAAAGTAATTGTTGATAGATATATAGTTATTGCCATTTTATTATTTATATTTTTGATCTTTTTTTATTCTTTTTCTTCTTAAAGAAGTCCCTCTAACATTTCTTGTAATACTGATTTGGTGGTGATAAACTCCTTTAGCTTTTCCCTGTCTGAGAGGCTCTTTATCTGTCCTTTAATTCCAAATAATAGCTTTGCTGGGCAGGGTAATTTTGGTTGCAGGTCCTTACTTTTTTCACTTCGAATATTTCCTGCCAGTCTCTTCTGGCCTACAAAGTTTCTGTTAAGAAATTAGCTGACAGTCTCATAGGAACTCTGTTGGAGGTAACTAACTGCTTTTCTCTTGCTGCTTTTAAAATTCTCTACTTGTCTTTAACCTTTGGCATTTTAATTATGATGTGTCTTGATGAGGACTTCTTTGGGCTCATCTTGTTTGGGACTCCGTGTTTCTGGAGCTTGTATGTCTATTTCTTTTACCAAGTTAGGATAATTTTCCATTATTATTTCTTCAAATAGGTTCTCAATTTCTTGCTCTCTCTCTTCTCCTTTTGGTACCCCTATGATGTAAATGTTGGTATGTTTGATGTTGTCCCAGAGGCCCCTTAAACTGTCCTCATTTTATTGAATTCTTTTTTTTTTTTTTTGCTGTTCAGATTGGGTGTTTTCTACTACCTTATCTTCTATGTCTTTGATTCAATCCTCTGCCTCTTCTAATCTATGTTGATTCCTTCTAATGTAGTCTTCATTTCAGTTATTGTAGTCTTCATTTCTGATTGGTTCTTTTTTATATTTTCTATCTTTATTTTTATGTTTTCTATCTCTTTGTTAAAGTTCTCACTGACTTCATTTACTCTTCCCCTAAATTCATTGAGCACTCAGTGTTTGAACTCTGCATCAGGCAGATTACTTGTCTCCATTCTGTTTAGTTCTTTTTTTGGAACCTTATTCTTCTCTTCCATTTGGAACATGTTTTTTTGTCTCCCCATTTTGTCTGCCTCCTGTGTTTGTTTCTATGTATTAGGTAGGGCTTCTATGTCTCCTGGTCTTAGTAGAGTGTCCTTATGGTCTTAGTAGAGTGTCTTTAGGTGTCTTGTGGGGCCTAGTGGCACAGTCTCCCTGCTCACCTGAGCTAGGTGCTCTAAGTGTGACCCTAGTGTGGGTT